CACACACACACACACACACACTCCCGTTGAGGTTTACCGCGAAAAACGCTTCAGATCTTGTGTTTCACAAATCACGGAGTCCGCAGAGTCCGCGGAGTCCGCCGCTCACGGTTGCTCCCACGTCGTGCCGAATTAAAAGGTCAGCGTCACAGGCGACGACAGGGAGTACGAGTGAGCGAGAAAGTCTTAGAAAGAATTAGCGTGGGCGGGAAAGAGGAACAGGCTGGAGATGACAGAGATACGAGTGAGCAGCAGGCAGAAAAAGGAAACCTGTCCGCCACCCTCTCTCCTTCACACAGACCAGTTCTTAAGTTGTACGCGAGCGGGAAAAAGCGAAAGGCAGTAGACGACGAAGGGAATCGAACTGCCGCCGCGACGTGGAAGACCACAGTGAGAGACGCAGATTCAAGCCCGCACTGCCGTCGCCGCCGTACACCCTTCGGGAACGCCACTTCTTTTCCCTGCTCTCTCTCTCTTTCTCTCTCTCTCTCTCTCTCTCTCTCTCTCTCTCTCTCTCTCTCTCTCTCTCTCTCTCTCTCTCCACCGCTGAGATTGTTCTTCTTTTCTCCTCGGCGAATGTGCACTCCGTATGAAACAGATCGCGCATTCGAACAAATTCACCTCCTTACGAGAGAATGAACATGTAATCCTACAGGAGGAAAGAAGAAGCTGCAGCGTGAAGCAGCTTTCTTCAAATCGGCTATGGCTGTTTCGCACCGACGAGGACGCCGATAAAATCCCCTCTGCCTGCCTGAACGCGCCCACCACCTCTTCGGGCAGCTGCCCGAAAGAAGACGAAGTAGACGACGAGGAAGAGGAAGAGGAAGAGGAAGACGGGCTTGAATGGAACTACACCTAAGAGGAAGGAGAACAACGGCCAGTGGCCTTACAAGACCTGCATGGACAGCAAAGACGAAGGAGAGGAAGGAGAGGAAGGCGAGGGAGAAGGGCTGGCTATAAAGGACAGGCGAACTGAGGACAGGAGGGATGGCTGCTACGCGCGGGCCGAGCCCCGTCAGCCCGCCGGTCTGTGCAATGAAACGCCTACGACAGACACGCGCCCACCACACCACACGCCCTTCCTTGGCTCGCCGTTTGTCGTTTATCGTTTGTGATTTGCCGTTTGTCGGTTTCTCGTCTGCGGCGCCGAAGGTTCTTACGTAAAATGTGGCGTGCGCATCTGCCCATGTTCTGGCGTGAAGCTCATTCTCATTTTGCACATTTCGATCGCGGTGTGGCGATGGCGATAGTTGCGCCACTCGACATCCGACTACATTTTTGAATGCACATGGACATGGACACTATGCATCTGGACGGTAAAACATTCTATGTGAGTTGTAAATCTTGGCTGACGGCAAGTGGTGCAACTGTGGAACTGAGACTGAATCCACCTCTAGAGCATGGAAAGATACATTGCCATCTTTTTTGTCTTTTGTGCATGTGGTGAGTAGTGCAGCGAGGCCCTGTGTCTGATGGGCTGGTCACGGGAGTGATATGTCTTCTGCGGTCCTTCGGACATTTGTTGGATTTGGAACGATAACCCAAGTGCCAAGCTCACAATTCAACCCCCGGAGTTATCCCGGCAGCGTCAGCCGTTTTAGCTTATATAAAGTGTTCTTCCAGTACTCAGCAACCTACTGCCGCAGCAAATTTTCCTTCAGTAACCCTTCTATCTTCCATTACACTGCCTATTTGGCCTACCTTAACTTCAATACAACCTCACAACAGAATTAAACCTCCGTCTATCCTCGTAACAACTATCCTAAGCTATACTGATATACCGCGTCAAACGCGGGGAAGAAGCCATTTGGGTAGCATGCTTTATGTTCTAGACAGTAAGCTTGGCAAAGGTCTTATGAAGTGGGGGATGGGCAGCCTTCTGGATGGTAGTGTCTAAAGCCAACGCTCTTCCACACGCCACACACAACCCACTCACATGCGCACTCACACCCGTGTTGGTTGAAGACCTTACTGATACGGACTGGGAGGATCCAGCTGACTATCTAAGTTGGTTGGCACCAAGGGTGTCACAGGCGGCCATGGGGATTGAACCCACAACCTCCTAAATGCCACTTGCATGCCAAACCAATTGAGCTAGGCCGCTGGCTGGAGCCCAAATTCTTGGACCGCAGGAGATGAAAAAAAAAAAAAAAACTGAAATAGCAAGCTACTGAGGGTTGTACCAATCCACACGCCCCCAGGAAAAAGGGCATTTCAAGCTCTAAACTACTAGCAGTGTATCTACCTATGTTCTACCAGAATATTCATGCCCATGTTGCACATTTGGTTAGTAGTGGAGCAAGACCCTCTATCTCTACAGCCCTCGTGGCAAAGGTAATTACGTTTTTTCTTCTTTTTTTTCTCGAAGGTCAATTCAATACGTTTTTTTTTTTCCTTTCCTTTTCTTAGTAAGCCCTACCGACGAGGGAAGGCAGTCCGTTTTAGATTTCGTTACTTGGGCTGTAGTAAACAGCAGAATGCTTCGATACTGTATTTCTGGGAAGATGCAGTTGAAGAGAAAAAAAGAAAAAAAAAAGTCGAAAGGACCCAGACCCAAATCGCCCACCCAGACCCATATCGCCCGCCCCCAGTTTGCAACGGGAAAAACTTTATCCCTTAAAACGGAAACAATGGACGGCGCCCTATACTAAATTGCAACGACCTTGACAAGATAACCTTCCCTACGACCGGTCTTAGGGACGACTGCGACCGGACCCTATTTTTTTATGTCGGAGACCCCAAACGAACCCGTCCTAGCAAAGTTGTATTGCACGACCTTTACCTAAATAGAAAGAAATGAAACGACAAAAATGGAATCCACACAAGCGCAGTCTCCAGGTTGTGAACTACCAGCCTATACCGGCTACCGGGCTAAGCGGCCGAGTGGAGACACACTCCTTAGGAATAGACACTCTCCTACATGGACCATTGCGCCCCAAACGAGTGTCCTAGTCAATGAGTGCGTCTCTCTAGCCACCCCCTTATTGACTGAGTGCGCATGTCCCCCTAACTTATAACCATCCTAAAGTTCCCTATCTACTTACTGATAGTTCGAAGCCCTTTTAGACCCATCCTGAAGCCACTTTGAGAAGACCAGCCTTCGAGGTGGGAAAATTCTCACTAACTGATTGCCCTGGGCCCAGGTTCGCAGAAACCACCACAACTTTCTGAGGGGAGCTTTACCGCACTTGGTTTTCCTCTTCCAGTCCACCAATATGGTTTGTCGCAGTCCTCTCTTGATGGCTGTTTTCAGCTCCACATCCGCGAACGTTTTTTGTTGAAACCGATAACGGTTCCTATCTGCCAAAATCACAACGCATATGATTGTCGTAACCACTTGAGCAACGGATGACCAACCCCGTTTACCAGAGTGCTCAGCGGGGATGAACCCCAAAAGAACCTATCTTTCGTCCGAAGTAATATCCGTTTCTCCTATTTGAGTCAAGTGTTGTTGCCATCAAAGTCAGACCTGTTTTGATATCGGGCATTCCTACCACAAATGTTTGGTTGATCCGAAGGGCCAAGTACATCTTGTGCAGCCCAGGTTGACTTTCGCTCCCCTGCTCCGAGACCAAACTATCGATGGTGTTACCAGGAGCAAGAGCATCCAGAGGATACCAACCTGTTTCAGATTAGGGAGGTCCAGGAGGAGCTTCCATAGCTTTGCAAAGTCTTCCGTTGTGTGTTGTAGGTCCTCCATCAGCACTACGTTGCACCTGGAGATGTCTACAGAAGCAGGAGAATGACTGGGAGAGTGGGTCAGTCGGTAAGACTTTTTAACTAGATAATTTGACAGATTGAGACCGTCTGAGTCTGAGGTCGAGCTTCTACGGCCCTACCAACTCCATGCGAGGGGTTTGATTGCAAGCTCTGTTAGAGGGACTTGGCCCAACCACTGCGTTTTTTCAACTTCTCCTCCTCCATTCCTCCATTCCACAATTCTGGCTTGAGGGGGTTGTCCCATTGGTAAATCACCTTTCCCCCCCTGCATTCCAAGAGCCCATCCTGGGAGCATACCCCCCGTTGGAATGCCTTCCTAAACCCTGAGTTGGTCAACTCTTGAACCTGTCAAACTGTGTTATCCCCCTGTATAGGAACATACCATATGCCCACAGGGTTGATGCCTTCTTGACCCAAGATGCTTAACCATTGTTCTGGTGTGGCCTGCAAGAGTCTTGACTTCAAGTTGTTTTCGAAGTGTATGGGGGCTTGTCACGCTTTTATAAAAAAGAAAAAAAAGAAAAAAAAATGGAACGATAGAAGACATAGTTCCACTACTACCCATAGGCCAATGGGTCTTGCTCCACCACTCTAGACTCAAGAACCCAAGCTCCACTTAGGGTCTCGTTCGACACCACTACAAATGTAAAGGTTCTTATAAAATCACTTGATGACGGAAAAAAAAAACGAACTCTATAATGTTTTCACATTTTCAGTTTTTAGGGTTCACCCCTTAAAAATGAGGGCGCTCCAGGCAAAACGACGGAGATCTCGAGAGAGCCCCCGAAGGTGACTTGAAATGTGAGGGTGGGCCCCTATAAATTGTCCGGCAGGTCGAGGTCCTGACACCCGACCCTCCTCACCTGAGATGTAAAGGCGGGTAAGTGTTGGGTCTTCCTTACGGGCTGTGGAATGAAAAAAAAAAAGTTAGGGTAAATTAATCACCCTCACTAGTTAGGGTGCCCTTACAATGTAAAGATTCATAACTGGTGTGGAACGAGGCCCTTCCTTCAGAAATCTGACATGCAAATATTCTTCTATAATTGTTAGAAGGGACATCCGTTAAAATTGGAACGATACAGAAAAGATAAGCATGTGATGTTCTAATCTCACACCCTATGCTGCCTTCCGGTATGAGATCAGAAGTTGTGTGAAATAGGCCCTAAAGGACAACAAAATGGGGTATGTCAATGATTTTTGGAAAATTGAGTGGGACATAGACGAAACTAAAGTCCTTCGCGTGGTTTCAGTTTTAGTGGGGAAGGACCATGGTCGTGCTGGAAAGAAATGGCGCATGCTTCTTTCAAATGTTCACTAAATCTTAAAAGTACCTTTACACTTTCATGCGAGCTACTCGTCGTCTTTTCGAAAGGAAGGGCAGGGGTACACACGTACGATCTCTCTTTTGAATTAAGTCCCGACGTCGTTCGCTATAAAGTTTGGAATCCGACGTGGATGGTCTCAAACTGGTCGCTATTTCCCTGTGTTCGTCCTCAGCACGTGTTCGGTAGTGAAACCCCTTTTCTCGCTGCACAAAGTGTTGGGCCAGTGGGGCACTACTGTCGTTCACGAGATGATAATAACGCAATAAAAATGAGTACGAAAAAAAGTGGGTATCGATAATGATAAAGTTAGTGTACCTACAAATCCAGAGCACCTCGTCTCAGGTGGAAAATAATAACGTTCATCGATTTTGGCAACGGCTTCTCATATGTCCCACTCGCATACATGTGTCTTCTCCTCGTTATACGAGAATGGTCACGACAGGTATGCGGGGAGACGACATCCAATCAGATCAGAACAATTGGTCCACATGGCATAAACAAATTATGAGTACATGAGTCTACCCAATCGACCGTTCAATCACAAAAGTAATTAGTCACGGTACTACTAGTATGGGTTTTATTTCATTTCATCCATCTGACGAATCAGTAAAAAAAAAAAGTATGAGTTCGATTCAATCACAACACCAATCACCATTCATCAAGGGAGTGACAAGCATGCATTCCCATAATCTTCGCGGGATTTTAACTTAGTTAGCCCAATCAATGCACATATGTAACAAATTTTACATACGCGAATCCTCAATTGTCCGAGAGATACATCGACAACTGAAAAAGAAAACTTACAAGATCTGTTAACGCTTGCTGGTCCCTTTGAGTTCAATGACGCTCGTTTGTATCGAGATCCGATTGAATTCAATAGGAGCGACCAAGATCAAGGAAATCTCGAGTAATTTTGATATTCATCGGATCGATAAGAGCAAGGGAGAAATGCGGCTAACGAAGACTTAAAATTTCAACATTTTTTTAATGTTATTTATAGGAAAACATG